AGACCACGTCTCACTGCCTGTCCACACGTGGCCTTTTTTGTAGTTTTTTTTTCCTAGCCACTAGGTCATCAGGGGACTTGTCCTTTAAAACCCCATCTAGGCTGGGTGCCGTGGCTCACGCCTGTAATCCCAAACACTTTGGGAGGCCAAGGTGGGTGGATGGCTTAAGCCCAGGAGTTCAAGACCAGCCTGGGCAACAGAAAGACAACAAAAATACCCCAAGCCTCCCTTCTACCGGCATCCAATCTGGGACCTCAGGTTCCTGTCCTTGGCGTGCCTTTTGAGTCTCCTTTAGAACAGTTCCCCTGCCTTTCTGAGCTGTTTGTGAAGTTCACAGTTTTGAAGAGTGCAGGGTAGTTCCATTGTATTATTACTATTAATTATTATTATTACTGTTACTATTGTTATTTTCAAGACAGGGTCTTGCTCTGTCGTTCAGGCTGGAGTGCAGTCACATTATCGCAGCTTACTGTACCTTCTGCCTCTTGGGCTCAAGAGATGTGTATAAGAGACAGCCTTTAGAACAGTTCCCCTGCCTTTCTGAGCTGTTTGTGAAGTTCACAGTTTTGAAGAGTGCAGGGTAGTTCCATTGTATTATTACTATTAATTATTATTATTACTGTTACTATTGTTATTTTCAAGACAGGGTCTTGCTCTGTCGTTCAGGCTGGAGTGCAGTCACATTATCGCAGCTTACTGTACCTTCTGCCTCTTGGGCTCAAGCGATCCTCCCAACTAGCCGGGACTATAGGCACAGGCCAGCACACCTGGCTAATTTTTGTATTTTTGGTAGAGGTAATGTTTTCCCATGTTGCCCAGGCTGGTCTTGAACTCCTGAGCTCAAGCGATCCTCCCGCCTTGGCTTCTCAAAACGTTGGGATTACGGGTGTGAGCCACCGCATCTGGCCGCGATTTTATTATAAACATTTTAAAATACTAGCTTTTAGGAAAACGACATTAACTGCCTGGTGACCAGTCCAGCGCTCTGCTTTAGAGCTGACAGCCTCAGGAGTCCCCACACAGCCTTGGAAGACCCCATTCCAGGCCTGTGACGCGAGGGAGGGAAGGGAGCGGGTAGAGTTGGAAGCAGGCAGGAACTGTGGCTGGACTGGGATGAGGTGGTTTCTCCAGCAAAAGCTCCTTTTCCTCAGGCGGAAGCTGGCCCAGTTGCAGGTGGCCTATCACCAGCTCTTCCAAGAATACGACAACCACATCAAGAGCAGCCTGGTGGGCAGCGAGCGGAAGCGAGTAAGTGCGGCTGCCGGGGCTCTAGGGCTGGCCTTGTCTCTTCCTCTCCCCGCTTCCCTGAACCTTGAGAATGGGCTTCTGGGCGGGACGCTTGACTTGCCTTAGACCTTTATCAGGCTGCAGCTGTGACAGCTCAGGGAAGCTGTGGGGAGATGGCAACCCCGGGATGTGGCTCTCAGGAGTGTGAGCAGGCCACCATAATGGGGGGCTGGACCAGAGCCTTGGGATGCTCCCTCTGTGGGGCTGGGGATATCTTGTCTCCATGGACATTCCCTCTTGCCAGCCATCGCCATCTAGGCACCTGGCTCAGCTTCCCCCAAGCCAAGGTAAGCCCGGCAACATTTCCACCCCAGTGTTGGTTGGGAGCCTTTTCCTAGTTTGTCCTCATCAGACCTAAGCTGGGTGCAGTTTGCTAGCGATCACGTTTTAGCAGGACACCATCAATCGTAAGTGTACCCAGAGGAGATTTATAAGGACAAAGCCTGAAGCCAGGTCACGTGGGGAAGAGTTAGCTACAAAACTGGCCACTTAATTTCTGGAGGGAAGCGTTGGTGGGGTGTGTCTGCGTGTGTCTCAGGGAGCTGGGGATGCCTGTGTGGGAGGAGTGCACCTCTGACCAGGTGGCAGAGTGGAAGGACTGAGGACTCTCAGCTTAGCTGTGCACGTGGCGGGCACAGGACCGGCTCGCTGTGAGTGGGTGTGGCCTGTGTCCTATGAAGGGTGGGAGGAAGGCTGTGCAGCTGGGGGTTCTGGGAAGGGAATGTCGGCCTGGCTGGAAGGTTGTGCCAGATGACCTCAGCGGCCTCTTCAGTCCTGAAAAAAACCTCAGCATCTCCTCCTCTGTCGTTTTGGGCCGTGACAGGACGCAGTCTTCTCCCTGTGCACGCTGAGATCCTGCAATGGGCCCTCAAATCAGGGGCTGGCATCACCCAGCTTGCTCAACCACGGCCACTCTTTCGTCCTTCTCAGTTCTTCTCAGCCAGCCTCGCCCCGGGCCGACGAGGCTCCGTCAGCTCCCCTTGCCCGTCTTTAGGGAATGCAGCTGGAAGATCTCAAGCAGCAGCTCCAGCAGGCCGAGGAGGCCCTGGTGGCCAAACAGGAGGTGATCGATAAGCTGAAGGAGGAGGCCGAGCAGCACAAGATTGTGATGGAGACCGTTCCGGTGCTGAAGGCCCAGGTGAGGGCCCTCCTCTCTGGCCCACCCTGGCACTGGGACCTGGAGTGCCTCTTTGGCGTCTTTTTTTTTTTTTGCTTTTTGAGATGGAGTTTTGCTCTTGTTGTCCAGGCTGGAGTGCAGTGGCACGATCTTGGCTCACTGCAACCTCTGCCTCCCGGGTTCAAACGATTCTCTTGCCTCAGCCTCCTGAATAGCTGGGCTTACAGGCGCCTGCCACCACGCCCGTCTAATTTTTGTATTTTTAGTAGAGACAGGGTTTCACCGTGTTGGCCCGGCTGGTCTCGAACTTCTGGCCTCAGGTGATCTGCCCACCTCAGCCTTCCAAAGTTCTGGGATTACAGGCGTGAGCCACCGTGCCTGGCCTCTTTGGCATCATTTTGTAGTGGCCTTTCGTAAGCTTCTGAACCACTTGTGCTGCTCCTTAGACCTCTCGGTGAGCTTGGCGTTACTCGCCGACGTGTCTGTTTCCTCTGCGCCGCTGGGGGCTCTGGGAGGACAGCAGTGGGCTCTGCTTTGTTCCTATGGTGCGCGGCACAGTGCCTGGTGGGTGGCTGGCTTGTGGCGGGCACATCCCTTTCTGTTGGATTTGCCAGGCGGACATCTACAAGGCGGACTTCCAGGCTGAGAGGCAGGCTCGGGAGAAGCTGGCCGAGAAGAAGGAGCTCTTGCAGGAGCAGCTGGAGCAGCTGCAGAGGGAGTACAGCAAACTGAAGGCCAGCTGTCAGGAGTCGGCCAGGTGGGCCTCTGAGAGCGTGCCCGTGTAAGCAGTGGGTGCGACACTGGGGGGTCGCCAGTGGTGACCGCAGGAGACGGATGGCTCCTGGTGTTCTGGGTTAGGGCTCACTGTGGTCCCTCTCCTCTCACCTGAGCTTCCAAGAGCTGCTTTGACACTAGTCCAGCCAAGGAGCTTTACAGAAACGCGTGCCTTGACTGGACGGTTTCTGTTTTCAAAGGATCGAGGACATGAGGAAGCGGCATGTTGAGGTCTCCCAGGCCCCCTTGCCCCCCGCCCCCGGTGAGTGAGTGAGCATTGGGCCTGTGGGAGGAGGTGGGTGGGGAGGGCAGGTGCTGCGCCGCGGGAGGTCACAGTTCGACCTTCCTGTCGCTCTCCGGAGACTTGACGGCGGGAGCTCGTATAGGCCACCCCATCGGTAGCCCACCCCCTTCCCCGAGGCTAAGGGAGGCGTGCCGTGGTGTCGGCGGCTCCTGGTTTTACATGAGTGGCCTGTGAGACCAGGCCTGCCATTGACAGTCCTGCCAACTCTCCGTCCCCTTCCATCCTCCCCTTGCCTCTGACTCTTCTCTTTTCCCAGCCTACCTCTCCTCTCCCCTGGCCCTGCCCAGCCAGAGGAGGAGCCCCCCTGAGGAGCCACCTGACTTCTGCTGTCCCAAGTGCCAGTATCAGGCCCCTGATATGGACACCCTGCAGATACATGTCATG